GTGGGACATTTTTAACACGCGCCCGGGTGGCTGGCTAGATACCCTTTGCTCGGGTGGGTCAAATAGACCCCCTGAGATCTCGGGAACTAAAAAAGCCAGAGACACTACATTTACAAGACGTGTTGACCTGTACGTGAACTCACTTAGGTCAAAGTTTCAGGTTCCTAGATCGTGACCTGGGGTCAAAAAAGGCCAAACAAGGTCAAGTTCCAGGTTGGTCTCCAAAGTGCCCCCTGAGCCTAGATAACCGGTTCTAAGCAAAAGGTCACATGCTCATTCAAGATCAGTGATCTTGTTTGACCTTTTGAAGGTCAAGGTGACAAAAATCCTACAAGATTGCTATGAGTTTTGCATTTGACTAAGCGACAAAGATTACGCTTGTTTCTAAAACAAAATGTTGACCTGGGTTATTTTAGGTCAATAACCTTTTCTAACCTCTCACAACTCCACGGAAGATGTATAATGCGGTTCCTGCTATCAATAAATTTGAAATAAGCACCAGAAACTATCCCATACAGCAAACCGTATAATAACAAAACAGGTTGGTTTTGACCTTGGTGTGACCTTCATACCTGACCTTAGGTCAATGTAATTTGTTCATTCCACTGTTGTGTTGCTTAAGAAAGCATCTCAGAGATGTATGGCTTCGTCTAACACTCAGTTGTTGGATCAGATTGAAGGACTCCTAGAAATTGCCTTCGCTGAAACCAGAGCTTAACTTTGACCTGCCGTAGGTCAGCGACCTTATAAGGTGTATCTGAATTTTTTATGCCAAACGATCCGCTTTTGGATCCGCAATTGTCTACAGCTATGCAGGGCGTGGCCACGCGGCGCCGTTCGGAAGCCATTCTGGAAAAACCCTCGGGGGGGGGGGGGCAATTTGACCACCCCCCAACCCGAGCTCGTGTTCAGGGGTACTCACATAAAGAGCACATTCTGAAAAACGAAGTGTCTCTATTCGGAGTTGTTGATATCTGGTTAAGCTCGTGTTTGATTTAGTATTTGACCGGGCAACAGATCGCCAACCAAAGAGCAAATAGTCATTATCCCCATTTCTAGTTGTCTTCATGTTTACGTCAAAGACTCGACGACCCAACAAAACGAGACAACAGACAAACTTTGGTCACAACCCATAGTTTGAAGACCACTGGTCTGCGTTATCTCCAATGATCTTCTGAACTCACGGTCAGCTAAAATTAGGCCGAAACTAACACATCTCATCCCATTTGGCAATGACGGAGACATGTTAGCTCCCATTCTTGTGGTCTGCTCATGTCCCGTCCCTGAGACCCGCTCCCACGGCCGAATCGGCGTCTTCCCCGCCCAAACCGCATTACGCGCAACATGATACATTAAACCCAGTACTGAGTGACAAGCTCCAACAGTTTGTCACTACCAAGGCCTTTTTGCTTCCTTGTTCACCTCCAAAAGTCACGCACAGTTTTTAGACGAGTCCTCGCATCCGCTCCGAACGAGGCGGCCGCTTCCCGCGCGCCTCCCCGGATATTTTCGTAGCCACTTTTGGTCCGCAGGCAGAGCGTCTCACGACCCCTTTTGTCCGCGCGCAGAGCGTCTCACACCCACTTTTGGTCCGCAGGCAGAGCGTCTCACCCCCTTTGGTCCGCAGGCAGAGCATCTCACCACCACTTTTGGTCCGCAGGCAGAGCGTCTCACACCCACTTTTGGTCCGCAGGCAGAGCATCTCACACCCACTTTTGGTCCGCAGGCAGAGCGTCTCACACCCACCTCTCGCCCAGGTGAACGCCGTTGTCGTCCATGGTCGGCACCGTGTGCAGCGGGTTCATCTTGAGGAACTCGGGCGTCTTGTGCTCGCCATCCTGCATACTGATGGTCTTGAGGTTGTGGTCCAGTCCGATGGCCTTGAGGGTGAGGAAGACGGCCCGGCATGGCGGGCTGCCCTCCACGGCGTAGAGGGTCAGGCGCGTGGCTTCGCTGCGGGGCGAGGCGCGATGTCAAGGCAGTGATGGAACGAGGGGGAACGGTAGAGTGCCTGTGCGGCACCACTGATGGCGCGCAGACGGGTATAGAACACCATTGGGCCGTGGACATCCACGGCTTGATGTCGCTTTTTTAGAATGGCACTGTACAAAATGCCTGACGGGCATGCAAGTGCAAAACAAAGGAAACAAATATCTGGGGGTGTCTGAGACTGAAAAGCATCATTACATTTCATTCAGGTGAGTCGCGTGATTCTTAATCATATTTTAGGACTATAGCATCCATTAAGATAACATGAAGAGAGGAACCTATATGTGTATATATATATATATATATATATGTATATATTCATATATGTATATGTATTGTGTATGCATGCATGCATGGATACATGCATGTGTGTATGTGTGTATGTACGCATGCATGTATGTATGCAGTGCATGCACGTATGTATGTATATGCCACCAGTAAAATCTAGATGGATAACGATGCATCTGTGGTAGGCGTCTCACGCAATTACATGCACCAACAGAATCGTAATATTATCAGCAGTGAACATCTCACCGAACATACTGCCGCACCGAAACAGAGGTCGCCTGAAAGCTGGTGACTGTTTTTATCCACCTCACCGCAGTTGAGAACACATGCAGGCGTATCCATGCATCATGCGGATCATGCATCACGACTATTTGGCAGGAGCTCTCTCAGGTACTTCAAGATGGAAGAGCCATGAGGCGACTTCACAAAGCACAGCGAGGTCAATTCTGTCTTCTCCGTATTATTCACCAAGATTCACCCCAGCGCAGCAAATTAATCATCACAAATTGGCTGCTAAGCATACAGATAAGGTCGCATGACCCAAAACAAACCAAAGTGGCACACACCTCTCTCTCAACATCGGCTTTTTGGCCTCACCTGAAACCGCCTACGGTTTTCACCTCGACCTTTAGTTTAAGATATATGACAGCTTCGTACATTCAAAGCCAAATGCCGTTTGTCCATTGGGAAGTGTCTTATAAACATGGGCACAGTGACCTTTCAAAAATATCCTTATGTTTTAGTTCTCGCCTTGACCGCAGGTTTTACGATACCCTTAGTTTTGGGGTTTAGAAACGCACCGCATGCCGCTTCCTACCAAAGACGCTCACGATGCCCCGGGTCTCTGGCGGGCGTCAGAACCTGCACATCACAGGCTAACGCCAATCTGACAGCCCGTACGCAATATAATTATTGCTCGTTGCAGGAACAAGCATATATTCATATATGAGGAAGCAAAAGGCTATCCGAAACGTAAAATATACGAAACATAACACGCTTTGGTACTTTACTGGCAGAGTTACGGACGCGTCACAAAGCAACCGAACGAAACATAAAAAACGAAACCCGATGTGCATTGGTCTTTGATGGTATTGAACACTTGACTGATGCTGAATGATATTTAGCTAATGATAAAATAGGTATATATATATATATATATATATATATATATATATATATATATTATATATCATATATATATATATAAATATATATATATATATATATATATATATATATATATATATATATATGTCATAGGCCCTTCATTAGACGTGCATTTAAGCACTGCTCTGATTGGACAGGACTACATTCAGAATTGATAAGAATCAGACAGATCTTGGTGAACAACAGTTTTTCAAGTTCTGACGTTGAAAACGAAATATGACATATGACAAGACACTTTTGCAAACAGACAGCAAAGACAGCAAACCAAGACAAGACATCCAACCAACCGTCAAACTGTATTTTCAAAATCAAATGACATCTGCCCACAAACAAAAGACAAGACAAAAAAGGTTAACGGGAAATTATCTCTCGATATGTTAAAGGCAAAAACGACCGTAAAGTGGACATCGTCATTTATTATGGCAATGAGAAAATCTCTAACTTGCTTATGAGAAACAGCCCAGACAGACCCGACAAACTAAAATGCACCAATGTAGTGTAGTAATTCAAATGCAACATCGAAGGCTGCAAACTTCGTCCCATACACTACATTGGTGTGAACACGACACCCCCACGACGCCTGGCGATGCACTTACGTGACGGGGCACCTCTGGATCATATGCGACACGAACATGACGAGACATTGACACAACAACTGCTAGGTGGTGGGTGGTGAGCACTATTGATGTGATTGTGGCAATAGTATTCTCATTGCGTCTTTGTAGTGTTCCCATTATGGGTGTTTCTTATCTGTATCAAAGTGAAAATAGGACTGCCTTACATCATTTAGTCATGCTTCATTTGGGTTCTCCGTACCAAGAAAATATATGTGTATATGCATTCAAACATGCATATACACATTTTTTGATACGATTGCTACAATATCATTGTATTACACGATGTTTTGTAGGATATGATATCCATCTTATTGAAGGATCTAATCCTTTTTCACCTACATTACAATTTCATAGCATTTACTTTTCAAGGGGCATCGCCGGTTGCTCGTCAACATATCCACTCACTTCGCCTGGCATTCCGCCTTGGCCTTGAGATAAGCAGCGCCCAGCATTTTGGCGCCCTTGTCGTTGACGGCATAGTATGGCAGCTCGTTCTTCAGCTTGCTCAGCCAAGCCTGGATCTTGGGCCAGGCAGACAGGTCGATCTCAGCAGCCTCCAAAGAGGAGACGTTGGCCAACAGCGCCAGGTCGGCAACCGTCATCTGACTGCCGGCCGCATACGCAGATCTGCCCAGGAAGATCTCAAGAATGTCTAGGTTTTCTTTCACCTTCCCGAAGTTAGCTTCAGACTCCTTCAGGTTCTTCATAAACAGGAGCGGGAACTGAAACATACATGTGTCTCTGCTGAAAATGTCCAGAAACAAGTCGTGCTGGGATTTATGACAGCATGGACAGGAAATTAGTTCATGACGTACTTTCAAGATCGAGGGAGGGCCAGAGGGGACAAAAAAACGAGAGAACTAATGGTCGAGAGACCGAAAGTCCAGAGCTTGAGAGAGAGAGAGAGAGAGAGAGAGAGAGAGAGAGAGAGAGAGAGAGCAGAGACCGGAGACCGAGACGAGAAGAGAGAGAGAGAGAGAACCGAGAGACCAGAGAGCAGAGAGAGAGCGAGAGCCAGCCAGCGAGACCGAGACCGAGACCTAGACCGGACGACCGAGACCAGAGACCCGAGAGAGACCGAGAACGGAGAGAGAGACCGAGACAGAGACGAGAGGAGAGACAGAGAGAGAGAGAGAGAGAAAGAGACAGAGAGAGAGAGACAGAGAGAGAGGCAGAGACAGAGACGAGAGAGAGAGAGAGCAGAGAGACAGAGAGAGACAGAGAGAGAGAGAAGAGAGAGAGAGATATAGAGCGAGAGAGAGAGAGAGAGAGAGAGAGAGAGAGAGAGAGATGAGAGGAGAGAGAGAGAGAGAGAGAGAGGAGAGAGAGAGAGAGAGTCTACACACATAGCACACAGCAAAACGCGCGGACCGCACCTGGCTGAACAACCCCGAAGGTCAAAACTGCCTTTAGCGTGAAGTCCTCGCCCTCTGTTTTCGCTTACGGCCCCAATGGCACTTCCTTGTTCATTGACTGCCGGCCTTGGATCTGACAGGCAGCGACAAAGGCGGTGACACATGTTATAAAGCAGTGCCTCGGGACCCTCGACTCATTTTGCGCATGAAGTATTAACACTGTCGTGTTTTCCGGAGCCACGCTGTTGACACGGAGCGGGGTGAGCTGGATGCACATGATGGTAACCATGTAATTCCAAGCTGAACGGCGTGTAGTGCCCTTGTTGCTGGAGACGGGCAGATGTATACCTCGTCTGTAGGCATCGCTCGGAATCACCACCCAGCACCTAACATAGGTCACTGGGCCAGTGGGTGTTGTGTGTTCCTTGTGTGGTTATGCTATCTATGTTTTGTTGTCTATTTTACCCCAAGAATGATACGCATATGCCAGTTTCTGCTATGCGACCTTTATACAGGTTTCGCATGTGATTATGAGCCAAGTGGCAGTTTGGCAACTCATGACTCATGATATCTTACTAGAGCTCAAATCGATAAAAGCTGAAGACACAGTTTTGCGGCCTGCTTCTGGGCATTATACACTTCTCAATGTTATAACTATTAACAGGTCCATTTACGGCACAAATGTGTGTTTTTTTAAACTGATGTTTCAACCGGCCTGCGGCGATATCGGCGAACACTAGGTCTTCACAGCGCGTTGGCCTTCGATAAAGATGCCGGTACTTGCAGTTCTTGTTTGAATCGGCACAATCCGTTGATTTGTGGCAAATATATGGGGTGAGCTCAATCAGGAGGAAAATACCCCAGTGACTGCAGGATCGGTTCGCCATTTCAAATGACTTTGGCAATCGGTGCTCGAAACTGTCCAAACCAGTTAAGAAGTAAAAGCTTTGGACGAGCGGAAACTGGTGTCGATGGTGAGTTCGAGACCCAGGCGACCATGAAGTCAGGGGTGCGCATCTTCACCACGAGGCAGAAGCCAACGAGAACTCTAATCCCCACTCTGGTGTCAGTGTGCTCCTTTCAGTGACCTGCGCGCCGGGGCCGGCCTGCCGCGCGCCGAGGTCGTCTGCTCCGAGCGCGCCTCTGAGGCGGGGAAGGGACCACGGACGCCACTCTGGTGTCGGTGTGCTCCTTTCAGTGACCTGCGCGCCGGGGCCGGCCTGCCGCGCGCCGAGGTCGTCTGCTCCGAGCGCGCCTCTGAGGCGAGGGTGGAACCACGGACGCCAGCGTCGGACGCACAGCGCACCGCACATGAGCCAGGGACATCCGTCTCCAAACGCCGTGCCGTGCCCCGATAGAACACACCTTTGGTATTGGTTCTCCAGGGCAGGTGAATCAAGAACTCGTTTTGGCCAATATTTGCAAGTGAATCAAGATATTAAAATAAGTTTTGCCACATAATGAGAAAGCGCTTGTAACAGTGGGAAAGAAATGGCAGGAAAACATATAAAGGAGGGTAATGAGTAGTGACCTTCTGTGCGAGAGGGTCCAGACTCCGCTTTGATCCAAAATGCTTGGCGTTTGATGTGTGCTGACTTTAAGCATACTGTTGCCTTTCATTATCACCAAGCTGTTGCCTGTGGGCCCACCCTACGATTAAATTCTGTTCTATCCCGTCACCTAGATTTTCGCCTATGTTAAAGAATACATTAAACGATATACGAGCTCCTACAGCGTATGACTTGATTGGTTGTTAATAATTATCACAAACCCGAATAGCACTGATCGCCAAAAAAAGAATCCACCTACCTCTAAGAAGGCTGATCACAATGTCATGAATATCAAGTTGTATTTGAGACCTGATACCCGCATAACACGTAATAGCAAAAGCAAGCATGATCTTATTGTGTCACACACGCACATGCATTTTCATGCCCATTACATACCAAAACGCCTTTCAAAGACGCGAAGAGCCCATGGTCGAAGTAGAGCCGACTGTCCACGAGGGCCCTAGCGGCTGCGTCTCTGGGGTAGAGCTTGCTGTCCGGAGCATACTTGTTCATAACGTAAGTGGTGATGGCTCGACTGGAAGCACATGGTGCGTCGCAAATCATCGAAACCGCAATACCAATCATGGAAGATGTGTTGCATTTTTACGTCGTTGCTGGACGCGTGAGCTGGCCTAGGTAGCGTCCCTGTATTTTGTTCGGCTCCCTGTATATTTATGTGAGAGGGCTCGCTAGTCTTTACTGAGCTGTTCATACCTGAGAAGACGTCCATAAGCCTCGCTAGCAACAATGCTGACTTCTGCCCGTTTCGTGTGTTAATTGTTCCCCTTTTACAAAAGCCTTCATGTTATGATAATATGCACGATCTCCCGTCCACCACTTAGATAATACGCACCCAAAATAAGGCTACATCATCCCGCGTTTCAGGAGACGAACGCCAACTCATGCCATCTGAAGACACGCCAGCCATCATGGGACACTTCTACGCTGCTCTGGTCAAGGTCAAAGCCCGCCCCATCCGCAGATGACAAGCGGACTGACGGACACTCCACGCCACTGATACTCTAGCCCCTCGAGATGCATCTCGAGCTTGGGGACCGCTGAACACCCACCTCTCGCCCAAGTGGACGCCGTTATCGTTCATGGTCGGCACCGTGTGTTGTGGGTTCATCTTGAGGAACTCGGGTGTCTTGTGTTCGCCGTCCTGCATGCTGATGATCTTAAGGTTGTGGTCCAGCCCGATGGCCTTGAGGGTGAGGAAGACGGCCCGGCATGGCGGGCTGCCCTCCACGGCGTACAGGTCCAGAACCATCGCTGCTTCGCTGCGAGGCGAGTCGAGGCGGCATGTGAGCGAGGCGAGGCAGCATGTGAGCGAGACGAGACGGCAAGTCACCGTGACTAGGCAGCAGGGAGGCTGCTGAACATTTGTGTTGACCAGCTCCGTTAGTCACACTTTTGATGGCCTTATGCCTTTAGATCTGCTCGTCGCGGTTCCGTGCAGTTTTTAGTAAGGCATGGCACAAACGCTTTCATGTTCTGAGGAATTTTCTGTTTTAACACGCGCCCGGGCGGCCGGCTAGATACCCTTCGCTCGGGTGGGGGAGGGTATATTTTATCCCCCTGAGATCTCGGGAACTAAAAGAGCCAGAGACACCAAATTCACGGAGTGTCTTGACCTGTACGTTACCGCACTAAGGCCAAAGTTTCAGCTTCCTAAGTCATGACCTTCAGGTCAAATAAGGTCAGACAATGTCAAATTCCATGTTGGTTTCTAGAGTGCTCCCAGAGCCTAGGCAGCTGTTTCTAAGCAAAATTTCACAAGTTCCTTTGAGGTTAGTGACCTTGTTTGACCTTTTGAAGGTCATGGTGACCAAAATCATACAAGATTGCTGAGTTTTGCGTTTGAATAAGCGACAAAGATTACGCTAGGCAGTATGTTCCTAAAACAAAATGTCGACCCGGATCATCTTAGGCCAATGACCTGTTTTGACCTCCAAGAAGTCAATGGAAGATGTATAATGCGGTTCCTGCTGTCAGTAAATTCGAAATGAGCACCAAAACTAACCATACAGCAAGCCCTGGAATAATAAATCAGGTTGGTTTTGACCTTGGTCTGATCTTCATACCTGACCTTAGGTCAACATAATTTGCCCATTCAATATTTGTGGTGCCTAAGAAAGCACCTTAGAGATGTATGGCTTCGTCAAACTCTCCGTTATCGTATCAGATTGGACGATTCCCTAGAAATTGCCTTCGCTAAAACCATAGCCTGAATTTGACCTGCCATAGGTCAGCGACCATACAGTATAAATCTACATTTTTTGCGTCAAACGATTTGCTATTCAATTGTCTACAGCTGCGCAAAATTTGGCGCGGCTACCTCGCGCCGTTCGGAAACCATTCTGGAAAAACCTTCAGGGGGAGGTCAATTTGACCCCCACCCCAACCCGAGCGCGTGTTAACATTCCGCGGCAACGTCCTCAAGGCGCTCGCAACCGTCACATCTGCTGCTCTATAAGTTACCATTTTCCTACAATGATGCAACCTTGCGATGCGATCACCCCGAGAGTTTACCCAGACATTACCGGAGACGAGGCTGGCGTGATGCCACCGGCGCGGTCCAACCACAGAGTGGTACATGTAAACAAACCCCGACAAGCACGGAGCCGTCCGCGGTCGGCTGGCGTGGATGGCATCTTTGGCTTCTGAAGAATACTCCGTGCCAGCCACTCATTTCAGTGGAGTTTGGGGCGATGGTATCAATGTTACCACCTATCCCAATGCAACTTAAGCGCGTGCAGTTGTATACAGTGAAGATTTATGACACGTGTGCAAACTTTGTGCGTTGCCCGAATACTATTTGCAGCGAACGGATAAGTGTGGTTATTGGACAAACACTTAGACGTGCAAAATATTTATGTTTTATTTCAAGGCTGGTAGCAACAAAGTATCGCAGCGTCCATTAAGGCCAGACTCTATGTCGGGCCGTAATGACGCCATTGGCGACTTTCACGTGTTACAAACAAGACCTCCTTCTTGGCGGCGGATAAGTCTGCCCTCTTACATAGGCGTTACC